GCCCGAGGCCGAGGCGGCGGAGCCCGGCGCCGCCTCGGGGTCCGCGCCGGAGCCGCTGCAGCTCATCGGGCCGGTGGGAGAGGCGGCGAACAGAGCCGCTTCCGCTTCCGCTCACGTTACGCACACACCAAGGGTGACGTCACACGCCCCGCGCTCTGCCCCTCCCGTGCCATGTTTGCTGTCTCTCGGGTCTCCCGCCTCCTGGTTGTTTACCAGCCAGTGAGACGCCTCCGAAAGGTCACCTCCCACCCGCCCGTACTCCTAGGCCCTTTCGCCGGGACGTCAACCATCAATATCTAGCACGCTTTTCCGCGGGTCTGGGACCCCTCTGGGAACCTGGCGCTTAAAGACCTTGTTTTGGGACACCCCTCAACCACAGGTTGCCTGCCAGTCTGCATCCTTTGTAGTTCCCTTACTCAGCCTTTTAAGGGTTGGAAAGCCCCACTCCCCTCCAGCTGCCAGGAGAAGTGAGGACAGCAGGGGAGCGAATAGTGCTGCTGTAGCTAGGAAGAGAGGTATTTCAGCTTGAGTATGCAAAATCACGTATGTTTGCAATATATGCAAAATCACGAGTGAGGGTGGGGTTTTCAACGCAACAAACATTTATTTAATTCCTATTTGCCAATCCTGAGCTAGGGCCTGGGAGTACAAAGTTCGGTAGGACAAGACTCTAGTCCTCTAGGCACCAACAGTCTTCAAAGGGAGGCAAAGAGGTAAACTGGCATTTTCAATACTATGCTGGAGTTACAATACTAGAGGTAGACACAGAGTATGCAGTGTAAAGGAGAAAGGGAACTAACATCTGCTGCCTACTTCTTTGTGTCAGGCACTCTATCAATTTTATTCCATTTAATTATTCCCTGATTATTGTTAGAGGCAGGTACTGATATCCCCACTTAGCAGAGGAGGGAAAAGACTCAGGGAGATGGACTTGTCCAAGGCTCTCTCCCAGTCTACATCAGAACCAAGAATCAAACAATGTTTGGTTTGAAAAAATCTGGGATTTTTCTGCTATACCAAATCATTTTCTGCTATACCAAAATCAACTAGCTTCAGAGAGCCAAAGGTTCACTGGAGAAGACTTCTGAGCTGGGTCTTCAAAGAATCCTGGAAACCAACCAGGCAAAGGGAGTCAGGGGTCATGTTAAGGGCACAGAATATCTTGAGCAAAAGTGAAAGGGGGGAAGTGGAGGAAGGGGGAGGGAGAACACCAGAGGATAAACAATTTGTTACTCAGGAAAAATAGCAAGGAAAGGATCAGGTTTGTGAGTCAGAGCAAAAAGCCAGAACTTCATCAGTAATCTTTGAAGGGTCTTAAGTAAATGACCTGATGGGATTTGCATTTTACTCTGGAAAAATGGTTTTATGGACAGGCAGGAAGTAAGGACATCTTTTTCAAGAGCCTCCTAGAATTCAGAGGAGAGAAAATATGGTTCTAAGCTAATTTAGTAGCAGTAGAGATGGAGAGAAGTAAATGAGTTCTAGATATTCTTAGGAAATGTTAGGCAGGACTTGTGGATTGATAAAAATATATTTAAGAGGTGAAATCAGTAGGACTTATTGATTGACAGTGGTAATAGGGAGTGGGCGGTGGAGGAAAAGGGAGTCTAAGATAATACTTAGGCTTCTGGCTTGCTTGGAAGAAGCATAGTCTTATCTACCAAGAAGGAACACAAGAGAATGGTCTGGAATTGGGAAGGAGGGAGATGAAGTATTGAGTGTCCTACACCTTGCATTTGAGGTATCAATCATCGTCTGATAGAAAGTCTGATTTACGGAGGGGTAGACAAACCATGAGAGACGATGGACTCTGAAAAACAAACTGAGGGTTCTAGAGGGGAGGGGGGTGGG